ATCGCCACGGCCGTTAATCTCGGTTTTCTAGACCGGAGCCGCTATTTCCTTGAATCAGCTCCTCAATTATCCTAACAAGGCTGAGTAAACCCCGTTCTAGACCCACTAATTCTCAAAATCTGGTAGCGCGGACCTCTGGATCTGTAGCCAGGCACTCTGACCACTAGACCACAACAAGCTTGAGAAAATAAAATGTAATTTACAGGATGGGTGGAAATTATGAACGACTGAACAATGCAAATAAAGAGAGAGATTATACGTGAAACTTGTTTGCTGGAGACAGATATAAGATTGAAGAATGCAGTCTTCTGGGATTTGGCACCGTGTATTCCCAGAAGACTGCATTCTTCATAGTCACCGCCGTGAAAGCCTCAAATCTTACAGATATAAGATTATTTCTGGGCTGATTAGAAGAAACGCTTAGTTCAGCATTGTCGATTAGTTTTTACAATCTAACGTGATGGACTTTTAAAGTGAATAGCTTTTAACAAATTTTATAGAACATAGTGTTTCACGTGACGCTGTAAGAAACTATCAGACACTAAGTGAGAAGTGCAACAGGATGCTACAATATAATATTAGTTTACTTAATTTTTGGCCTACTTTCCTTATTTTTAAAAAACAAAAGGAGGCTTATGATATCACCCTGCTGTCTGTGTATCCGCCCGTGTCTGTCCATTTGTGTATCCCCCATAATTTTTTAGGCTTGCTATTTGTGGATACCCCCCTCCATAATTTTTGTTAGGAGGATCATGAGTCACCTTGTTGTCCGTGTCTGTATATTCGCCGTAAGTTTTCGTTTTCTATGCGGTACGTGTCGTATCGAAGGAAAGTACGCACTCTTTAGGTTTTTGCTTGGGTACAACGAGACGCTAGCGTGACTGTAATGCTCCAGAAGTACATAAAGGAATGATGAGCAGCAATCTCAGGATCGGTATGTGCCAAATGAAACAGTTTCAGTGTTCCTTAATATTTCGAAGCGAATGTCTCGAGAGTGGGTAGTGCAGTCGGTATAGCGAATGGCTACAGGCTGCAAGACTGAGGGGTCGGAGTTTTCCAGGCCGGCTCTGGAGTCCACCCAACCTCCTATCCAATGGGTACCGGGGGCTCTTTCCCCGGGGGTAAGGCGGCCAGGGCGTGAAACTGACCACTCATCTCCAACTAGTGCCGAGGTCAAGAAAATGTGGATCTATACAGCCACACCCCAATACGCCTTCATGGCGTAGTGCTTAAATTCGTTGAACACAGGGACAAGTTTACCTTTTTTTACCTTAGGGCTCGAGAGTGACGATGGAAAATGAAGCGTCTAAATTTGTTCATAATAAGCTTCGTACCAGCCTTACATCCTACCTGTATCGATATCACAGGTCGTGGATACCGACAGTAACGGAGAGGGGAGACAAGCCATGGAGGCTACTGGAGTTTCTTCCCAGCCAGATGTCCTACCAGGCTCTAGATCGGTATGTCGTTTCTGTAATTTATTGCAATGCGGTAGACAGCCATGGCTAGCTGGTCGATCCATAGAGTAAGAGGAAGAATCATGGCAGTCATGAAAACGTTCCGGGTACAAACTCGACTGCACGCAAAAGCCGCCTTCAATCTGACTGTACTGGTCTCATAACCAATGAACATAAACTGAATTCTGGATTTGATACATGACAGATGCTTATCACAACACTCCACTCAGAGCTGCAACAGAAATGTACAAGTTCCATGGACGACAGAACATCAAACGAAAAATCTGAGTACAAGGGATGTATGATGTACAAATTATTGGGGCCATGACTGTGAATTCACCTTCGAAATTACGTCATTCAAAAAGACATGTAGTGCGAGTGTGGCTTGAGGCGCGTCGATGTCGAGGGCCATATGCGGCCGGATAACATTCAGGATGGATCAACGGTTATAAAATTCAACATAAAATTGCTTAAGAAAAGAAGATCAGTCGGTATACCGACGGGTACAGGCCGGATTGCCCGGGTTAGATTCCCGGTAGGGCAAGATTTTTCTCTTCTCAGCGTCCAGACCGGATATGGACTCCCTCAGCCTCTTAAACAACGGGTACCTTGGGCTCTGTCTCCAAGTGTACGGCGGCCGAGGCGAGAAGCTAAACACTCACATCCATCTAGTGCAGAGATCCAGAATGGTGAACCTATACCTCTAATCCCGCATGTCTTCATGGCATAGTGTTTAGACAATTAAGCGCAGGGACAAGTTTACATTTTTGCCTTTACCTGTATAAGAATGTAAAGTGGTCTAACACTTGGTAAAAAGCTCAACAGAAACAAAAACTAAAACGGACTGTATATAAAGCAGCAAACGGACTGAATGACAACAAATGTGCAACGCCTCAAGCTGGAGCTAAAACTCCCCTAAAAATTACTTAAAACAGATTTGTAATTATCAGAACCTCAACAACGCCTGGAGTTTCTTATAAGATTGGCGAAGAACACGGAAAATGACAGAGCAGAATGGTATAAGGGTAACACTGTTTTATTCAGGAGGTACCGGGACGAATCTCGGCCTGATTATTGATATATTTAGTTGATTTTAGTCTATCTGAGCGAATATAGGGACAACATCCTGAAACAGACGACGAACGCCGTCGACCAAACCCTCACTTTCTCATCATTCATGACAATCTTCTCATCCCGACCGACGTTATGTAACTTGGGTAATTCAAACTAACTCCACAAAGCGAAGTCTTTCTTCACACGTTAATAAATAGTTGCTCAGCCAATCACGGAGCTGGAACGTTCTGTGCCGTATCTATGCGAGTCCTCCACTGGACCCTGTCCCCAGCCAAATGGGTCCAATCCACACAATCCCATCCTATTTTCTTAACATCTATTTCAATATTACCCTCCGATCTATGCCGGGGTCTTTCAAGTGGTCTATTTCCTTCAGGATTTCCTTCCAACATTTTCTGTATACATTTCTCTTCTTTATGTCATTCTACTTTGAAACTCATTTTAACATTACCTTCGCTCCTATGCGCATGTTCCTCAAATGGCCTGTCTCTTCTCAGGTTCTCTGACTAAAATGTCGTATGCATTGATTATCAGTAGCGTGCTACATGATCTGTCTATTCCACCCTCTTTGACTTGGTGACCCTATTAGTATTTGGAGATTATAATATGCTGCAACTGAAACAATGTCATTCAAAAATCAATCAACCAAACAAATTCAGGAGTGTGCTTCTCTCACTTTTAAGCTGATTGCTGCCAATCTACATCTTGGGCTACTGCCGGAATTACGAATGCATGAAACTTTACTTAAAACATTGCAGGCCGTGTAGCTTACCTGTGCCTAAACTAAACGATGTGAAACAACAGAATTCGAAAATATTTCTTCCAGTGTACCGTATTCTCTACCATCTTATTTCAGAATTTCATTCTCGTCTGCGTATTGCCTATGGAGTTACTGCTGAACTTATTCTAAAATAAGCATAACCCGTTATTTCGAAAACGAATATCTTAGTAAGATGTGCCTTTTCGTATATTTCCCGTCTATTTGACGCCTAAATTGGGAAGAAGAGAATTCCAAGCCGATGTTAAAATCTGCATATCACTGGAGGTTTGGAATTCGAAGAATAATCTCATACAAAAACACTTCTTCAAGGATCTTAATTTAACGAACGCCTTTGCTTGCAAGTAGCTAGCTATCTGCTACAGTAGGTCTGACGTCGTGAAAATTATGGCTCATCACGCAAAAAAAAAAAAGAGTGATTGGTAGGAAGAGCAACTGTTTATTAACGACGCTGCCAGTAGTTCGGATCATACAGCGTGAAATGACTGGATATCTGTGAATTGGAACGGATATATATGAGAACGACCGTGGCCTAATTTAAGGTACTGTAGCGGCATTTGCCTTGACTGAGAAAGACAATGAAACATCTCGATCAGGATATATCACGTCGAGGCCGAGATTCGAATCAGGCACCTCCAGAATACAAAGTCAGAGGCGCTACAGATTAAGTTAACCTGCCGGGTTAACAGGAATTATTGGTCTCCCGACGGGTATAGTGAGTCATTAAAATAACCTCAGTGATACATTCATTATGATTATTTTGATGTACCGTATTTACGCATGTATAGGCCGCGTGCGTGTATAGGCCGCAGCACAATTTTCAGACAGAAATTATAGAAAAAATAATTTTCTTCGAATATTATTTCAGGAGTATTACACCCTGTATTACTAATTATGAATATATATTTTTTTAAATGAAGTGTGATTTCGAATATAAGCCGCACCCCAGTTCTCCTCTTGAATTTTTGGCAAAAAATGTGCGGCCTTTACATGCGTAAATACGGTATATGAGCATGTTTTTTATTTGTTATTTTATCATTTATTTTATAACTCTCCAAATGTTCGGACCCTTATGAACTCACACCATATGGACGCTACGTAAAAATAATGGTATTAGTTTTCGTCGCTGAGATCTTTCTAGATACCCGTCGTGTCTACAGTCTAGCCTGATGTCCATGCAGTGTTCTAGTGCATGAAAATAAATCACCGCTGATTCACATCCATCCTCACAACAACAACATTCACAAGCCAAAACCGAAAATAGTAGCAGGTCTGACACATCTGGAGTGTAGCGCAGGTATCCGGAGCGAATCCATGCCAGACTCCTGCATATCCTGACCTCTGCTCGCGGTTCTCCCCAGTTATTCCAGGTGACTGGACCACAATAACTTCTCCCACAATTTACTGTACATAACCACCCCCAAGTCCCGTTCAATGCTACTTAACCCCAGTAACTTGTAAAGCACCATTAAATTAATTATGAAACCACAAGGGAATAACATAAAAATAAACCAAACAAAATAGTAACACACCAAGTTCTGTACGGTACAGCCGAACAAGAAGGGAACCTTCGCAAAATGTACGGACAACCAGTTCAAATTTTCGCCAAGCTCAGTGAGCAGCGGACGAACAATCCGACGTTTCGTCAAGTTCAATGTATACTGGGAGTTAAGGTTGTCAGTCTTACTCACCTGACACGACTGCCAAGCCAAAGAGTTCGCAGTCTAGCATTCCCTGGCTTCCGAGGTGGGCACATGTCTGGGCGTACAGTTCTCTGGCTCTGGACTTTGGCTGAAAAGAGAAAGAAAATTCCGTGCGATAATTCCCGATATAGTCAAAAATATTTTGATTATGTGAAAGAAACTGGAACATAAATGTATCGTCAGGCTGCATGGTACGAAGTTCCTGTACAACTGGAACAGTTCACTTCAATGACCTGCAGATCATAATGAGCACTGAGGAAACGGCTGAGCGTCCAAACTCAGTCCCAAGAAATAAAAATAGCTTATGTTTGTATAAAAATTAGAAATGTTACCTCAAATGCTACCACGTCATCCAGATCGGTCCTGGGGCCCACCCAGCCTCATAGCCAATGGGTATCGGGGATCTATCCTTGGGGGGGGGNGGGGTAAAGCGACCGGTGCGTGAAGCTGACCACTCATCTCCAACTAATGCTGAGGTCAAGAATACTTGGATCTATACATTCACTCTCCCACACGCCTTCATGGTGCAGTGCTTAATCAGTTAAGCACAGGGACAATTTCACCTTCACATTCATCTTTTACCTGAAATGTTTGTGCAGGTACTGATGTGAGGGAATCAGTGACATGACTGCACTCTCGCTATCGGGGAAGGGCACAGTAGTCGCGGAGAAACGTTCAACCCGTTCTACGCTAGCAAGAGTGCGCGCGTTTATCAGCGCTAATGACTCATTCCGCTATCAACAGTTACAGCAGCAGTCTGTGAGAAATGCTGTGTCCTATCCACGCTGCTGCCACGTTTCCTCGATCATTGAACGCCCTGTATAATGTATATGTTAAACGAAACACAATCACCCAAGGAACTAACTCCTCAAATACACTACTATATCAGTTTCTGTGTTCGATATAGGCCTATGTGCGTTTAAGGGAACACGCCTACGTACCCCCAAAACCTCGCCCGAGTTTCAGAAACCAAAATGTGAAAAGGAGTCAAAATAGTATTAGATAGTTTCAACCTAATTTAAATGGACACCCTAATCCACTTTCCCTCCACTGTTCAATCGGCTGCTAAGCGTTTTCTTTACTAAATGTTTAGTTTATATAATGTTTCCCGACAAAGTGATAAAGGTAAAGATAAAGCTGTTCCTGTGCTTAATTAATTTAGCACTGTGCCATGAAGACAGTGGGGAATGGAAGTATAGCTCCACCATTCTGGTCCTCGACACTAGATAGAGGTGAGCGGTAAGCTTCACGTCCTGGCAACTTTACCCCTGGGGAAGTCGCACCCGGTACCCATTGTATACGAGGCTGGGTGGGCCCTTCATCTCTAGCTTGCTTGTACTAAACGTGTCGATGTACTGAAAGAGGCTTTGGCAGAAACCAGTGCAATTAAACTATTCTGCATGTAAGAGAAACTCCATTTTAGTTCTGATTGAATATTTTGTTCGATTTTATCACCAGGTAGTTCTATGAGAATAAGGGTCTGAGGCTTAACAGTCGGGCCGGTCTGTCTGGCATACCGTTACACTAATGTGCTCTTTTAAGTGATGTCCTCAGTGCTATTTAAATACAGATTTCAAACAATGGCCTTCGTGAGGAGGTTCACAGTCTCCAGCAAGGAAGCCATCTATACGTATAAGGACCAAGCTCGTGTATGTCCACTTTACGTCAATTTTCTTGCTCTGCTATCCTCAGCATCAGGTAACTTCTGAATGATGTCATGGCAACCCATACGGACCTGATTCAGCATCTGTTCCCACAGAATGCAATAAGAACTTTTTTCAGTTAAAATCTTCGAGATTAACGGAATCAGGTTATATAAAGACCATAAGGATTCATTTAAGACGACAGCCACATCTTCAACGTGCACACATACGTTTCATCTGCAGTGAAGCAAATCCATTGCAGAATCTATAAATGACCTTTTTTAGCTTTTTATTAATTACCATATGATTTGAGAGGAGCCCGGATAGCTCGATCGGTATAGCGATGGACTCAGCGGTAGGGCAACAGACTTTACTCCACAGAATTCAGACCAGGACCTCTTTCCCCGCGGATAAGGCGGCAGTAGCGTGAAGCTGACCACTCATTAAATATACTGCCGAGGTCATGAATGCTGGATCTGTACCTCCACTCCACCATACGTCTGCATGGTAAGCACAGGTTCAATTTTACTCTTTACAGTATCATCTGAGTCAACTGTAGCCCGTTGTTTTCTATGCCTCCCTCTACACAGGCATATAAGAAAACATACGCGCATCCATGGTCGTGCGTTATTACTATATTACGAGAAAGAAGGTGATGAAGGTGAAAAGATAGGCAAGGATGAAGGTCATCAAACTGCGTGGTACGTTCCTTACACATCAGACACGGCATGAGTAGCTGCTGTCGATGTCCACACATCTGCAGCCTGCGTTCTTTCTCAGCTATGTATCTGTACTGCTCGCAATTATTACAGAGCACATTCACTAACATCAAACCCCTTATTTTCCTCTTTTTCTTCTGCTGTTCCACAAGAAGGAATCAGAGCTCGCACTGATTCAAAGAAGTGCAATGAGTATAAGAGAACGAAATGGACAGGCCATCTTGTCAGAAGAAACAGGATCGTAGAATTCAGGCATGCTTTAACAAACTACTGCAGTATATTAATACTTACCCCAATAAAGTGCCCACGAACACATTTAAAAACAATAATTCACTGATAAATACCGACTTTCACACAGCCATCCCTTGAAAATTAAGCGCTATAAAATAATTAGGAAAAGAAATAGACCTGTCTCGATTGCATTCCGATATTCTGTCAATCAGGCAGCACCATAGCTCAAGCGGTTAGTCGCTGGCTTCCCACCGCGGCGGCTCGGGTTCTATCCCGGGGTCTGATCAAGTTGGATTTGTGGTGGACAAAGTGGCGCTGGGGCAGGTTTTCACAGAGTACTTCGGTTTCTCCTGCCAATCTTCATTGCACCAAATTCTCCATCATCATAATCACCAGGGCAGGCTACAATAGGCCAATCAGTGGCCGCCGTGCCGAGTGGACCCAGTAGGACTCCACCCCCACACTAAGCGAATTAATTCTTTCAATCACTGAAGAGGAAGTTCAGGGAAGAACCAATTGCCTTCCTTCCTTCATACGACACAGGCCTCATACAAAACGGCGCGTCTAACAATTATTCTATTGTTGCGTGTGTATTCGTTTTTGCCGAGCCAATGCCTAGCAATGATAGGGTTATACAAATAAAGACTAGCAGACTAATCCGAGGGATTTAAGAAATATGCCGTTCAGATGGGTTCACGTGCCTAAATATGCATAACAAGTTTCATAAAGACTGGTTCAGACATTCAAAAGCTGATGGAGGGAGGAGGGGAATCACAGGCACACACAGCATGGCGATCTCATAAACTTTTTTTTTTTCAAAATAAGGAAAGTAAGCTAAAAATATGCCAACTTCAATATAGGACAAATTATATTACAGAACTGAACTTTTATTCTTAAACATTCTGTGCCTGTTCTAGAATGGGTAACTAATGCTGGGTTTCTCAAAGAAAGTGGATATTCGTATTACTTGCAGAACAAATATGATTTTTTTTATTGACTGCGTATTTACAATCTGCTCTCTTATTTGTGGAGCATTAAGTAAATGTCAAATAAGATGCGTAGCAAATATAGATCAGTAAAGATGCTCAAAACTAACTTGGAGAAATAAGTATCTGACTAATTTAAAGATCTATTTATTTCCTGTAGACAAACAACTGCAGAAATAAGATGAGCTGAGATTATAATATGTAGGCTGCAAACTCTCCAACACATGCATATGCGGCCTGCATGGAGAAATAAGCCCCGATTTCCAGTGAGCTAACATGGCTTCCGTTACGCGCAGAAAGACCGTACATCAATCGACTTCGATAGTGCATAAAAGGTAAAAGTTGTCCCTGTACTTAACTAATTAAGCACTACGCCATGAAGGTGTATGGGGAAATGGATGTATACATCCACATCATCTTGACCTCGGCACTAGCTGGAGGTGAGTGGTCAGCTTCACGCCCTTGCCTCTTTACACCCGGTACCCATTGGATAGGAGGCTGAATGCATATACAAATTAAATGTAAGAAATAAGTATTTAAAAAAGAACACAAATTAATTACTTACCATTCACATAAATCATTTTAGAATGATTATGCCAAAAGTAAAAACGACACGATCAGGTTTGGTTTGTGGGCCTAATAATTCAATTTAACTCGTGTTTATTTACATGCAAACTTAACAGCAGAGAGGCCAATTACAAAGTTAGCACGGATAGATAGAAATACACAAAAATTAAAAAAAAAAAAAAGATAGCCTGTAATAATAATAATAATATATTTCTTCTTTAGCCAGTACTAACAGGTCGATTAATAAAAATAAACTAGTTCATTATGCAACAAACGTCTAACATGTAAAAATCTACTAAAAATAAACAAATAAAAAAAAGTAACAGAAAAATATGAAACCGGGGGAGCAAGTAACCCGAACGTACCAATATTGTCAATAAACGGCAGTTGCTTCTTTGCAGCTTTTCAACGACGTTCTGTCTACCACAGAGTATACAGAGATCGAATAAAAACCAACTAACTCCATGGATCAGATTTCTTTTTGTTCCCTTACGACGCTGTGGGCATCTACACCATACGGCGTCGGATGGCAAGATGACTACTGAATGATGAACCGGGAAAGATTAGGGCGGAAACGACAGTGGCATAATTTTAGGCACTGGTCCGGTATTACAGTGAATAACTATGTAAAACCACAAAACGAACTTCAGGCAGAACAGCCGGTGTCCCTGGATTCGACTACCTCTTGTTTCTTGGAAAACTGACAGCCACTAAGCTGTCAAGAAAGTTCCGGTATTTTGAATAACCAATATATCATTATCTCGGTCCGGTTTCTAAGAAAATGCCTCGAACAACTATCTTATCGTATGCCCCTACTTAAATTTACGAATAATTATTTTCATATACTTCTGCAATAAGTCTGTACAGCTATCACTTTCATACTCTGCAGAAGATCTACTTGACGACACTCTATTGCAGTATTTTCAAGTAGTCATCCGCGAA